GACAATTGGATCAGAATCAGCCAATATGGCTCATTAAAAATCAGCCAACAGTATCAGCCCAAAAAAATCTCTATCAGTGCACCTCTAGATAACATGGCCCTGCCCTGAGCACATTGGACTGCTGCACAGCCAGATCTGGGTACATGGGGTGGGGCCAGCGTACAGCTGGATCTCAGCACACAGGATCAGGCCAGTGCACAGTGCAGTAGCACCCCACGTGCTGATCCTGCACAGAATCCAGCCTGTAGACTGATCCCATGCCACTCGTCCAAGCCCATGGGGCTGGAAGGTTGGGCACCACTGACCCAGATGATTGTAAGAGCTACTACTAGTCTCAAGACCTTTGAAATGGAGCTATATGGAAAGTAGGGCCTAGATGCTTTTATTACTTTATTTACCAAGCAGTGTACGGCTTCCATGCCAGAACAGAGCAGTAGTACTAGAAAAAGACCCAATTCTTAAAGAGACCGTCCCAGAACCACCCATCCTGGCTTTTAAACAAGCACCGAACCTCGCTAACCTCATCACCAGAAGAAAACTTCCTACAGCCCAAAACACACCAAATGGATCCAGAACATGCCACGACAAGAAATGTAAAACCTGACTACAATATCTCCACCACTCCCACAATTACTACACCCCACAACAGAGCCATCAGCTTTCCTGGATCTTACAGCTCCAGACATGTAATACATCTCATTCAATGCAGTAAATGCCCTGATGGAAAATACATAGGAGAGACCAAAGAACAACTGCGTACCAGAATGAACGCACGCTGGAAATCTATCAAAGACAAGAATACCCAATTACCCACATTTCTCACAAGAAAACCACTCTCTCTACAATCCCTCAGTTCTAATCTTCAAAGGGAATTTACAAGACACCTTTCACAAATGAGCCTACGAGCTTCACTTCATCAACCTACTGGATACAAAAAATTATGGACTAAATATAGACCTTGGATTTATGACACATTATAACCTGCCTAAGACCTGACTCCCCAGGTACCCCTCTACTATTTGCCAGTTATATTCATTCCCCAGCCCCCTCCCTTCCACCTCCCTTCTCCCCGCTCAATCTCCTATTTACATTGACTCCTATTTACATTGTCACCGACTGACTTTCTTGCACGCATACCAGCCTCTGGCTTCTTTTCTATTCAATCCATCTAGGAAGAGCACAGACCAACTGCAGATGCTTCCTCAGCCTGATGAATGTGTCCGAAGGTTTGCAAAAAAGAATTATTTCCAACTATTTGAGTTGGTCTAATAAACAATATCAGATTTACCCAAAAAACCTTGTTTGCCTATGTCCTTAAACCAACTCTGCTACAACCTACACTACTAGAACAGAGTAGTAGAACATTTCAGGTGTTCAGCTATGGCTTCAGAAACACAAATTTCAGACCCACTTGAAACTTTTGCTAAAGGTTGCTCACAGCACCCATAAGAACCACATGCCAATAGCTCCAAATGGTCCATTCAAGCTGGATGTCTGGCTTGCAATACATTGTCTTGTACACAGTTCACTATAGAAACAGGTGTGCCTCAATCATGCTATGGGCAACTAAGCTTGGGAGGACCTTCACCTTGGTTCCCATGACATTTCTGGTGCCTACACAAGAACAAGGTATTACCTCCTTACATCAAAGCTTTTTGGCATAACTTTAAAATTGGAAAGCATATTTGAGGGTTTTGGCCCCACATTTATGCAACATACTGAAACACAATACATCTGAAATCCTTTTACATCAGAAAGATGTGAGCAGATATGGACAATGAATGGGCACAAGGAGTAATTGAAAAACAACAGCAGAAAGGTGATAGTGACAGATGTGATAAAACCTTGGAAGATTCCCAAGGCAAGGACAGGGACAGGGACACACACACACACACACACACACACACACACACACACACACACACACACACACAGAGTATAGGAGAGGGGATGAGTGACAGAATTAGGACCTGGATGCACGTCACACTTAGGACATGCTAACTGCACTAAAAATGCTAGTGTCTGAGCATTTGAGCAGCAAAACACATGCCAAGTGCCATCCTAGGGTAGCAAAGTGAGGACTTTTCTGGCACGGAGTATTTCCAGATTGTATTACCTGACCAACAGGTCTCACGAGGTATGCAGGAGCAACACTGAGCAGAGAGAGAAGTAATCCAGGTGTGAATGCTGGCACCAGAATCACTCCTCTCCTCTGAGAGGATTTATCTGCCATCCAGCAGTACAGCAATAAGTGAAGGCTAGCTAAAAACATGTGTGAGTTGCTACCTAGCTGGGGCCTGCCTGGGGACCTGGACTCCCTTTCTGCACTGCCACATTATATCAAGACCTGTGAGGATGGCTCACACCTTTTATTTTTTGGTGGGCCCTGTATAATGGTGGCCATCTTCTTCTGAGGGAGAAAAGGAGCGTGCCTTATACATTTATTCATCCAGGAACAACTGAAAGAATAGAACTGGGGCATACAAACTAGAGTGTCAGCTGCTGGATTTTGAGGGAGCTGTGGCAATTATCCACTAGTTGAGGACCTGGTGCCTTCCTACCCAAAGGTAATTCCCTCATTCCCGAATCAGACATTGTTGGACCAAAAACTGAGGCTGCTTCCAAAAACAGAAATGAATGCATTCAGAAAATGGGGACTTCTCATTGAAACAAGGAAATTTGCGTCTGAAAACCAAGGCAACTTTCAGTTTAGCTTATCAGTACTTAAAAGATGCACTGCAAACAGCATCTGTCTTATCCTTTCCCACATGATTCAAGAGTCTAATTCAACCAATTTTCAACTTGCTTAGGCAGCGCTCAATACACTGAAAATTCTGCTCTTAATTTGGACCTGCCCGGAGCAGCATCCATTGCTGCTGCAAGATGCCCACATCAGCGTATCTGAAAATAGGGCTCTCTTAGCTCTGATGTAACGGGATGTAGGTAATCAGCCCAGCCTTGCTCTCGGCACTGCTGCTCTGCAAAGCACTCCTTCTCTGTGAGTATCTGCATTGCAAGTTATTTTTCCTCAGACTCATTAGTTTGCATTTTACTTGACTGCATCTCATTTTGTTATTTTCTAGACCATGGTTCGAGTCTCTCCAGGCCTCTTTATATTATTTCTGCCTGGTATCTGAAAGACCTGGTATCATTTGCAAATAAAATTACTGTGCTTTGCATCACTGAAAGCTGAGCTAGAGAGGAGAGGATGGCCTTGCCATTGTGGCACAATACAGAGCTCCGGAGACCAGGGAGCAGTTTCCAAGACAGCTACTGTCTCCCTGCATTACCTTGAATAGTCACAGAAAGAAAAACTGAGTCACACAGGTACTATGCAGGTGAAGCTGTAATGACTTCACAGCTTCCTGGAACTCTACAGCAGCAGTAGGGGTGGATCTCAGAGCGGTCAGCCCCTGCTGCGTGCATGGCTATCACTTGGGTTAAAAGAGCCACGACACTGGGCAGTATCCTGATCTTCTCTCTAGGCTTTGTGTTAACACTAGAGGGCAATGTAGCCACACAAACGAGCCTTTAGAGCCAGGACAAAATTCATTCAGAATTCAAATTTAGCTACAGACCCAGTCCTGATGGGAGGAGCTGGAGGTGCTGGGCACCTCTCAGGGTTTGGCTCACAGCTAGCGGAGGAGAACCTTAGGCAGGAAAACAGTGCTGTTTGTATTCAGCAGAGGGTATTAGGCTCACATCTTCACTAGTGAGGCCAAAGCAATCCTCCCTTCCCTCTCTCTCTAGGATGTTAGGAGGCTTAAGTATCAAGCACACTGGATGAAAGACATTTTGATTATTATGGTTAGATAAATGCATAAAGTCCAGCCAGAACAACAAACCCAGCCACTGGACCTTGCCCCTAAATTCAGAGCATCATTGCTGCTATTACCTGTTATTTAAGGTTTATTTCGGTCCACTTGATGGTACACAGCAATCTGTACACCCCCTGAGTCCACAGCCATAGATTATGCCCAGTGTCCACCCTTCAATTTAAAACTGCAGTCCTGAATCCTTAGCTTTCATTTAAAACTTGTATTTTTCTAGCACGTGGGATTGCGAATGTAACATTCCAAAACAAAGCAAGCACAAAACTGTTGGATCCTGGATGATGGATGAGAGTGCTAAGGTGTCGGCTGCCCCTATTAACCCAGTGGCTGTTTGCTCTGAAACCTAACAATGATAATTTAAATAATCAGTCTTATTCACTGCTGATCATTTTCACACAAATATCTAGCCAATGTGCCAATCTCTCAAAGTGTCTCCCATTCTTCCTGGCTGCCAGCTGTTCTTGAGCCAGCTAACAACTTCTACAATGCAGCCTAAAGCTCTGTGGCACACTGAAAATTAACGGGTACCATAAAACATATCACACAAGATCTTCAGCTGGTATAAACTGGCACTGGCTAAGGATATGGCCCGTTGAGCATAACATAAGCACGAAGAGCAGACAGAATTCTATACTGAATGGATCATTCATTTCCACATTTAATTCAATAAAGAGCTGCTTTCCCCCACCACACATTTACACTTTTGCAGTATTTCTACTCTGCTGGTCACTAGAAACCAAAAGCCCCTTGCAGCAAAATTTAAACCCAGCTTGCTCCAGAGTACACTCTTCTCCAGTATAATTTTAGTTCATTTTTCAATGAAAAGTGCATTCCCTTAGCCCACCACATGTGTCCAAAAAGATCTACTCTTTATAAAGCCCACCTTCCCATGGAGGTTAGTCTGTAAAAAGCCTTATAAAGCTGGCAATCATTGACCCAAAATAAAGTAACCTCAGAAAACTCTGGCCAAGTTGTCCTCTTTGTTCTCCTCCAGTAACCAGACCCCATTAAGGAGCCTGAGTCTGCTGCTTCCAGGCCCTTTGGCTCAAGCAGCTGAGGCTCACTGCTGTTCAATTCCCGCCCAAGACAACTCTTCCATAAGGACATCATAGCTGGGATTGGTTGTGCAGTCAGGAGATTCTTGCTGTTCATGATGATGGGACTTACCCCTGGTTTGTGCCCCACTCGTTCCGGATACAGAGATGTTTGTGCACGGGGTCCTTCATGTAACCTTCATAGCAAAGGCACTCACCTAAGAACAAGAAAGAGGACATAAGGGAGTATGAATGGTACCAGCTGCTGCTGGAGGCAGGATGCTGAACTAGATGAACCAAGGGTCTGATCTTCTCCTCCTAATCAAACCAGCTAAGGAGGTGGCACTCACAGTAGACAGGTTCCCTGTGTCAGGAAAATCTGAAGGACAAAGAGCACAGATTACCTTCATCCCTGCCCTGGGATCGACAGCAGGTGCCACAACACGGAAGGAGATGAATCATCACTCTCATCAGAGGATCACCTTTCCTTTCCCCAGAAATTACCACAGCAGTCAGTGCCAGTCCCCAACTCCTGCTTTAAAGGTTGGTAGCTCCACACAAACAGCAAGTCTTCCATGCTTAGTAGCTCTTTTGCCCTCACCAGCTCAGAGACCGTTTCTTCAAGAGGGAGAACCAGCAAATATCACAAATAGTAGTGCAGCAGGAAAAAAAGCTCACTTGCTCACTCGCTCACTTGCACACACACACTTGAATATAGTATTAAGAAAATTACATAATGATTGCAAACAGGAGGGCTATTTAATCTCCCATGTTTGTGCTACAGCCAGAGGGGCTGTGTCAAGGAACCACAAGAGAGAAGATGGGCATAAGAGGAAACACATACAAATGGTGAGCATCCTTTTGTGGGCAGCATGCAGCCATCGCAAAGCCAATGACAAAGGACAGTTGAACCACTGTACTGCCTACTCTCCTCCTTTCCCTGCCCTCTTTGAAGCATTCCCCAGGGCAACAGAAAGCACATAGTCCTTTCACTCCCTTGAGAATCTGGGTTGTCATTCTGACTCCAATATATGCTGCACAAAGAGGTGAAGTCCCTTACTCCCTTCCGGGCTTCTGCCCTGAGCTGTGTACTAGGCTGACTGGACTCTTGGTTAATTACTATTTATAAACTGGTTTAACTCCCAGTCCAGCAAAACATTTAAGCACACACTTAACTGTAAGGACTGTGATGGGATTACTTACAGGCCCAAAGCCACGGATGTGTTTAAATGCTTTACTGGAAGAAAATGCTACAGACAACGTAACGATGGAGAAATTTAATGTACACGTGGCAGGGAAACCCACAGTTAAGAGTAAAGTTGTCTTTGATCAAATTAAGATTGTGTATGTAACGACTGCTGATTGGGCTTACACCTTTATATCTTATGTTACAACATACCTTATATGGTCCTGTGACAGTAACTCTGGGAATATTTGGCTAACATTTTCAAATGTTAGACACTTAAGTTAGATTCCTAAATCGACATTTAGACACTCTGTCTAATAGCCTGCCTTACATGACTGGTTTGCGGCTGTCCAGTGCTTTTGAAAACAATCAAGCTATTACTTAGGAACCCAGGTATGGATTTATGAGCCTATCTTTAGACATCCAAGTCGTGGCCAGCTTTCTGATTCTGGTGCAATACTAATGCTACTATTTTCCTCCCACTGGATTTATTTTAAATGAAAGTAAAATGCCTGATTGATGGCACACTAAAATAAAGAATGGACTGTACAAAATTCTATTTCACTCATAACCTTTCCACGATTCCTTATTCCCATTCAGCCCTCAAATACTATAAGAGTCAGGTAACCTTGAATGGTGTCACTACTTCCACTACCTGGATAAAATCAACTCCATGCAAAAGTCTACTAGATGGCTACCATCTTGGCTGGGACTGTGGATTGGAACCGGAGGTGCTAGGGGTCAGGGAAGCAGTTACAGTTGGCACTAAATACGACCTACAGCTAGGAGGTGTAATAGGTGCGTCTTCTCTGTGAATGGAGTGCAGAGGAAACTACCCAACAAACAATGAGTGCCATGAATGGAAGATGTGCATGCCCTTGAATTCCCACTTCAGCTACAAGAGGCCAACTTCACCCCTTGTTCATGGCTGAATCTGAAACACCAAAGTCTTTGTGGGAAGGACTGGTGCAGTATGAGTTTGGGGCAAAGGTTCTCCCTGGATACTCCATCAGAATCAGTTCACATATCCCTGCTTTTAGATGGCTAATTGCAGCACAAACTTACTCTGAGTCAGTTTGCTCTGGGTATAAGTTAGGCAGCAGAGAGTATAGCCCAGAGTCAATACTGTCCAAAGAGTATGAAGTCCATAAGGACAAAGCAACCTCTTGCTATTAAAGGGCCATGCACCTATAAGATATATATGTAAGGCCTCTGGATTTTACTCCCCCACCTTGTAATGGATGTCTAATGCTTCCCCAAGCAAGGAGTGTTGGAGGGACTGCATCTGCTGTGACAGATGGTTGTGAATGCATGGAACGCTGATTCTGTAGCAAGCAGAGGCATCCAACACGGAAGTGAGTCGTAACTGTAAAGACAGGAAGAGTCCAAGACAGTCTGCAGGTACAAACTGAACAGACAGGAGAGACTGCTCTGTATTTGATAGTGGCTTAAGCTTGGAGCAGCAACAGCAAACTCACTGAAATTGTGCTGGGTGTGCATCAGCACAGCATTTGCCTGACTGCCTACAAAGAGGAGATGATGCTTTGCAGTTGGGAGACTGGTTAAGAACTCAGAAAACTAGGGTTCATTTCCTTGCTCTGCCACAGACTTCTCATGTGACCTTGACCAAGTCACTTAGCCTCTGTGTCCTTCAATTCCTGACCTGTAGAACTGAGACAAGACACCTCCTCTCTTTTCTAGATTTAGACTGCATCTTTGGGGGATGGGCTGCTCCCCACATACACCTGGCATAACAGAGCCCCTGATTCTGGCTGGAGATTCTGCAGACTAGTGTAATATCATCAGCAACAACAACAAAGGAGGAGGCGGCTGATTTCTACCTGCAGCTATTCCCAGTGGGGGTTGCTCCAGCATAAGTGAGAGGAGAGCAGTTCATTAATTTGAATATGGGGAGAAAGGCTGTGGATAGCATAGCATGTCTAGAAAGAGATACGGAGATGTGACCAGCGCTTGAAAATGGAAACTTGCATCTTTGCTGCACGGATCAAACCCAACCCCAGTCAACCACTCCCAAGAGTCAGGGGAGCACTGAGCATATTTCTCAGTGTTTCCCTGAAATAAGCTGGTGAGCAACATCCTATTCTTGGTGTGCCTGGTTGCAGCTTGCTCAGAGGGGATGAGGCATGGAGCCTGAACTGCCATCAGCCCAAGAGCTTCTCTCAAGCTGGGAGCAAGTTGCAGCAAGGTGAAGCTAATGCCACCCCTGCTGGTCCATGGATGAAGAGAGGGCTTCAATTTCCAGACAGAACAATCCCCAGCACAATATTCACTCAGGACTCTGATGGCTCAGTGGAGAAATGGTGAACTGGACACAGGGCAACACGCAGTTCAGCTGACCTTGTATCCTACATGCTATATCTCCTCTCATGTCAACAGGCAAAACAAAAACTAAAAGCAGGCCAACGGGCAGGCTTTCAGCCGATACAAGTGATCTGGCTCCGCTGAATTCAATGCACATTGTCCATGCCAAGTGATGATCAGGCTTACAATAACCAACTTGTCAAAATGTTTGCAGCATTAACCAGAAAAATGCACATCACCTCCCCTTACACATCCACACTTCTTCTGGCAGGAGTATTCCAGATTCACACCACAGTAAGGACACTGAGACTTGAATCTGGTCCAGCTTTATGGTAAAATACTGTGACACTGTTTTCTTATACAGAAAGGTTTTGTAAGATTTTGTTACTGCAGTGTAGATCACACCCAAAAGCAAACTGTGAGAGAATGAATAACTGGGAATGAACCCAGATGAGGCACTAGGGACAATGAGAGACATATGCGCATTTTGATAAGAATGGATGATTTCACTAAAGGAAAAAAACAAGGAGCAGAAACAACTGCAGAATAGCAGGGGGTCCTGCCTCCTCCCAGCAGTGCTGGGACCTGCAAAGCTGGGATGTCTGGCTCAGGCCCCCCCTAGGCTCTCAGTTTGCTCAACTACAATGCAGTCTCTCTCCCTTGGCCCTTGATAGGTAGACATCAAAGGGACCAGTAGTGCAGAGGCAGCCTGTGGTCTTGGGTGATGATGCTTTTCAGTGAGACAGTAGATTAAAAAAATACAACACAGTGTTGGAAGTCGGGGGTTGGTAATGAAAACAGACTCCTACACTTTCTGTTTATTATGGAGACAACGAATAGAAGCATGGAGGGAGCTTTAAAAAAAGTTTTTACTGCAGATAGCAAGGGCTCTCCCAGAACAAAGCAGCAGCAAGAACAAAGTCACTGGAGCACTTAACTCCCTGCTGTCACCTCATGGGTTGATTCACTTGTTTTAAGCACATCTCAGCTTTTCCCTCTCATTTGAAGTACACTACCTTGAGTGATGGAGCCCTGCTGAAGAAGTCCTAACCTGGATCCCAATTTGTCCAGCATTCCTCTTTCTTTCAGGCCTGGCTACATCTAGTTACCACAAAAAGAGGATGCACCTTTGTCCTGGGAAGGGATGGGTTGCGTCTCACATGAGGTTGCCTTATCTGCATTTCTGCCATTGACATTATGGCTTGTGGACTGCATGCGATTATCCGATATTCTGCATTACCACTTGGGACTTACAAAGAGGTGAAAGACAGATGCAGACAAACAGATCTCCTCAGCTGCTGTAGGTGGGCAATGCTCCTTCCAATTCAGTCCTGTTCCATCAAGTTCAATGAAGCAGATTCTGGTGGAGCTGCACTGATTTACGCCAGCTGTGGCTCTGGCCCATTACTGGTACAAAACATTTGTGCCACAGCAATATTCTGCTCATAAACACCTTCACCTCAAAGAACTCAAGGTAGGATTTTCAAAGCGGTCAGCAACAACCTGACACAGCTCTCATTGACATCAGCAGCTGAACTCTAAATCATTGGTAATAATCCCACTGATCCAATGGGAGCAGAGACAGGCCAGCACTGAGAGCTTCTGAAAATCCCACCTTAGAAAGCTAAGCTCTCTCTGGCACTGCACCCTCCTTCATAGTAGCCACTGGGCCAGAGTCCCTGCAGCTGTGGATAGCACCTTGCAGCAGAAAGGTCTCTTATGCAGAGAGGCAGATTGGCCTGGGGGAAGGCTGAAAGCATTTCTATCACTGTCCCTCGTTAGGATTTGCCAGAGATAGAAGGCAGCTGTAGCATGTGGCTGTACCCAGCTGGCAGAGGCAGCTGTGGGATGCATTGGATTGACAAAATTCACCTTCCCTCAGCCACTTCCCCTGCCAAAAACATTGATACACCTTAATGTACTCAAGCCAAGTTGCAACCTGAAGGAAGGTAACGCTGGCTACAGTGTACTGGCAGGTGCAGAGAGAGCTGCTTCCCAGCCAAGGATGGGGCACATCCCCAAGCAACAGGACCACGGTGTGATGAGCTACAAAGCATTGGGAGCTGCAGGGGCCAAGGGGAAAAGGAAATGCCAGCTCCTGTCCCAGAACACCTCCCAAATGTGGGAGACTTAGTCTCTTTGCTCCCTATCCCCAAGCTCCCCTAAGTACCTGGCTCTCATCATGACACTATGGGCTCAGTAACACCACCTCTAGCTGCTCCCAGAACACTGCTGTGAAGTGTGGCTCGCTCACCCGCTTCTGCTCTGCACATGCTACCTCCTGGAAATAAGCCAACACAACTGCTTTATGGCAGCCCTGAGCACATACCAAGAAGCACAGCCAGGCAAGACAGACTGAGAGCCACATTAGACATGTGCTCCATGCTACAGTTAAATTCTGTCATCGCTGGGGGGGTGGCCCATGCAAAGCAGGAGCAAATGGATGGAACATGCTTCACAGGAGGGCTCTCAGCAACAGCACAGAGGTAATGTGGCCGTGCCCTGTGCATCTCAGCTTAGCTAGCTACAGGTGTCCTGAATTTCTCCATCTGACTGCTACCTCAAGGCCTAGTAGCCTGATCTACATCCCTGTAGTCTTGTGTTGGCATTACGCACAGTGTTAATGATGTGTACTAGGTTAATTTCATGCACCACGTGGATGGGATACCTGCATCCATGTTGTTCATACTCCTTTTGCACTCACAAATGGTGAATGACTGTACCCCCCTCTTTACAGGCTGTGGCTACAGCTCTACCTATTTGAATGACAGCTATAGTTGTATAGAAATGGAAGGGAACAAAGGCAAGATACAGCCCCGAATCAAGCCTCACTTCCCTCCTCCTGCAGAACAATAGAGAGAAGGTTCAAAGCCTTGCACTGGGACCTCAGCAATCTACTTTTCATTCTGTGGCATGAAATACCAATCAAAGATTATAGGGACTTTTCTCACAGCTCACAGGTAGACCTGGTCTTGTTACATCTGAGCCCTCCCTTGACAAGCACTGTGGGAAAGAGGATAGAAATGAGTGATCCCTCACAGAAAGCTATCAGTGTTGTCAAAATAACCAGGGATCTAATATAAACAAGCACCTGATCCTTTATTGATCAGGATCAGGAAGACTTGGTCAGGTCTTCAAGTCCATACCAAAATTTTCATCCACAAGAGCAAGGTGCCCACTGGACTATGCAGCTGGTTGCACTCACAAGGTGCTCTTCAGATACAAATCAGTAGCCTTTAAAATGACCCCAGAGGCCAAACCTGTCATACATGACCAGTAGTTAATCTCACTGATCCCATTCAGGCCAAGAGAGACAGATCCTACATACCAGTTTCTGGGTCACACTGGTGTTCACATGGATCCAAAAGTCGTCGGGCACACAGATCCAATGCCCAGGGCCCGCTGGAGTTCTGCTGGGAGAAGAGGACAACCTGTGCTGGGTTCAACCAGTCACTGGCATCTAGCTGGCTGCCCTCCAGCAGGATAAAGCGGCTTCCTGAAAGAGAAGCAAAGAGTGGAAAGGCTGGAACTACCATCACAGAGACAGGAAACTCCCCTCAAACCCATTGCAGTAACTAGGTCCTTCTCAAATCAAATTGTAAGAGAAATAAACCTCCTCACACATACAGCCTCTGTGCCAGGGGTGGTGACCCAGAAAGGGAGGCCTTTGCAAGTCGGCCTGCTCCAGCCCATAATTTCAGACCACTTTCCCAAAACGATCAGGCTCTCCTGGGATATTCCACACACATCAAGTTCCATATGACAATTGTTCAGCATCATAATGTTCCACTTGCCTGAAGGGACTCAGTATGCCAGAGGTGAGGCTTGGCAGGCCCATACACTTTTGATTCAGCATAACCCCTCATCCATTCCCCTCTTAGTCAGACAGTGGGAGGAGCAGTGGGAGAGAGGGAAGGGAGGAAGAGAGAGGGAGGTGTTTGCTTACCATCAGCAATGAGGTGCTCAGGAACATGCAGGGTGATCTTGACAATGAGTGGGCAGCTCATGTGGGACGAGCACACCAGGCTGATCACACAGCTGGTGACACTGATCAAAGTCAGAGTGGTCTTGTTCACAGGACTCCTGGGTGAGCCCACTGGAGCAGCAGAAGAGAGATACAGAGCAGAGGCATCAGAGTCACAGCATCAACTTCTTACATCAACATCACTAGAATATAGTCCTGAGAGATGCCCAACTCCCTCTCTTTCCACATGCTCCCACCTTCTTGTCAATAGCTTTGGATGCAGCAGAGAAGACCCTAAGGAGGCCATCTTCCCAAGCAAAGCCTTATCCCTTTATCCACCCAAAACCCCTTTGGGATCAAAGGAATCATAAGTAGAGAGCCTGCAGCTTTCCTTGAGCTGTCCTGGGTGGTAGGGAGGTAGTGATGCTAATAACAAAGTGGCTGTGCCCTTAAACACTTGCTGTAGCATTCCTTGCTATCAGCCCATGAGTCTGCACACATCAGGCTCCCAAAGATTATTAAAGGTGCTCCATGGACTGCTTAAACCTATTCAGCTTTTACAACTGGTTCTGTCACTGTCTCAGCTACAAATTTTGAGTGACAGCTTCTGTTCACATCCTCCAGCAGCTGGGAATCCTGTAATCTCTTACCTGCCCCCTCTCTGACATTTGGCCCAATACCTGAGCAGGGAAAAAGGCAACTCCATGATGTAATAGGAGTAGGGGAAAGAGGGTAAAACCACCTAAAACTTTCTTAACTTGAGGCCTAACAGCTATTAGAATCTTTCAGGGGTGGGAGAGCTGCTCTGAGGCATCCTGTAACATGAGTACATGTATGTGAAAGAAGCTATCCCGCAGGATGTCATGGGACCCAGATTTAGGGAGGAAATGGCTAGTTAGAAATCACACACAAATCTGCCTCACACCTACATAAATGATGCTCACCCCAAATCACTTTACAAATTACACCAGGTATCATTACTTCATCCTCAAGTGCCACGTGTAGTCGACAACACAGTAGTAGGAAGATGGCCAAACAGCACACTGCCTTCCAGTGAGAGGAGGGTACATTTTGAGGCCAAGACATTGGGTCAATTCCCACTCCCCTCCCCAAAACCTTCTGAAAAGGAAACTGGTCCAAATGCTTCTCTCAGTAGCAAATCTGTAAACCCAGAATAAGTCCAGTGAAGTCATTCTCTGAAGCCACTTTGAATTATGCACCAGCCTGAGAGCAGAATTCAGCCCCCACTTCCAACATTTTTACTGACGATGATTCTTTTCTTCTTCAATGGCTAGTTACACAAAAGTTTAGGTTTCACAACACTATTGTATATACCAGTGCATTGTACTGACTTGACTTTAAAGCAGGTCAGAGACAATCAGAAAAAAAGACAGATGCAGGTTTCATTTTTTTTCACCTTTCTGGACTTCCTTTGGATTTGTTTCTCAATGACAGCAACTTCCTAGGCTCCAGAGAATAGGTGCCACAGGATCTTGACTGTCCAAGGCAAATAGGACCTTGGCTTTTAATAGCTCATCTGAAGGAGTCACACAGAGAAAACTTACTTAGGTCTGAGTTGATCTGCCTTGAAAAGCTTCAGTCTGACTTCCTTGGACTTCTTATCAAAGGTATATGCCTAAATATTTATACTCCAGCTCTGACTCGCCATACATTTTAATTGCTACAATCTGGTGACTCCCAGGACAAAACTTCCAACTTCAATTCATAATACCTCTCCAGGATTGGGAAAGAACAACAAGAAACAGGAGGTACTCTGAACTGCAGTAGCCAAAGTGTTTAAAAAGGGGGGCTCTTTCCTTCCTCCTTCATATAGGACTACTAACACTGTTAGATTTTACTATGTATACATTTTTTCTTGCTAGTTAATTCCCAGTATTCAAGCCTGCCATTCCTGAGCAGGTTCAGAGGAGCTAGTCAAAAGCTAATTATAAGCTCAGAATACTGCACCCACCATAAACTGGATTCAGGCCAGAACGGGATGGTAAAACCATCTCGAATGGCACTGCTGGATGATTTCCTATCAAAACACAAAGGAGAAAGAATCTGTTCTCATAGCCCTGGAATTCTCTGCAGCGCTGGACATTCCTGACCATGAGACACTGCTGTTTCACAAGACCAAGGTGGTAGATGTCCCAGGTAAGGCACTAAAATGGTCCAAGTACTTCCCAAAGGGATGTACCTAGTGGACAGCAATGGGAACCTGCATCTTCACAAGAATCATTTCTCTCTCTGGTCCTTATCGTCATCCTCAGCATTCAATTAACTAGTTAGATGACGGTGACTCAAGTGACAATAGATGACACATTGTTCTACCCATCATTCCCCACATAAAACTCTATCACTGCCAACAAGATAGTCCAGTACCAGGATACAACTAGCTCTAGAGTTAAGAATAGGTAGCTGATACAACACCTGAGCAAGACAAAGGTGACACTGGGGACAAAGGAAAGTATTGTGAAGAGTGTGCCATGGCTGTTAAGTTTCCTCGGGTAGGAGCTGCACACGTGTAACTGGTAAATTCAGCCTATGATTTAAGGGTACTCTAACTACCCACTGGGTGTGTCTACATACTATGCATAATCTAATGCACAGTAAAGCATTAGCGTCTACATATACGCAGCAGTTACTGCATAGTAGATTAATCTAATGCACTATTTTCTAGTATCTGTAGATACAGGTACTAGAAATCGGCACATTAAACTAATGCACCAAAGTACACACATACATGCTGACTGGAAGCAAATTGCTCCCAGTCAGCCTAGGCAGCAGGGGGCCACAGGGAGCAAGGACAGCTGTCCCAGCTCAGCAAGATGCAGCCTCCCAGCCATGTGGAGATCAGGATCCATCCAGATTTCCATGTGGCTGGGAAAGCTGTCTCAGCTGGGAAGGACACTGCCTCCCAGCTATGTTGGATGGGTCTTGATCTCCACATGGTTGGAAGGCAGCTACCCACAGAGATCGGGACGAGCCCCCATACTCCCTGACAGCCCTGGGCTAGCATCTGGGGGAGCCTGGAGCTCCCCCTGGCTGCTGCAGACAGGCAGAGCAGGGCAAAGGCAGCCCTAAACTGAACTGCTCCCCACAGCAGCAAATTTGCTGTTCACAGTTGCATGTTCAGATGTGTGCAGGGGCCCAGTTTAATGTGCCTAAATATGCTGCGCATAAAATGCAGGCACATATGTAGATGTACCCCCAGATGCTAAACTCTTATGCAGCAGCATCTGTGACTAATATCGTAAAGCCTTCCACTCTTTGGAAATCCCTGTTAATGCACAATGCTGTAGCATGACTCCTAGATAACAGGCTGCCATGAGTAGTCAAGCCTGCTTTTTTTTTTTCCTTTCCTTCCCACAGAATACTGAATCAAGTTCAAGGTTTCAATCCCTATTTTGAAGGTCTTCTGTGGCTGAGGCACAAGACATAAAAAAAACTGATGTAAGAACAACCGTGTTTATCATTTTATTTATGGATGGTGTGGTCAATTATACTTCAGACGTTTCAGTTTCATATTCCCATCTATACAGAAAGGGTGGATTCTTATAATCGCTGCTCACTGCTTTCAAGTCAGGCTCTGTTGCCTTCTCTCTGCTTGCATATTGCCCATTGCTGATGACAGACTGACAATAAATGGCATTTTTTCAACTGGTTTCCCCTACCTGCTGGAGATTGTTTTATTAAAGCAACAGCAGTAATATGCCAAACAGAGAGGCACAGAGGCCACCCTTTGAAGCATGTTACTCATTAATATACAACAAATCCAGGGAGATGCCTGCAGCAAAATTTGAATGTATTTCATCCTCTACTGAGAAGATCTACCAAATAACATTATGCAGCTGGCTGACTGGTTAAGGATTAGATGATAGCGTAAGCATCTTCTGAATTGTGAAAATCCACTCTGGCTTGGATTCCTGACCTACACCACAAAGCATTCAGTGGGGGGAAGGGGGAACATCACAGCCACAGCTGGGGTTTATAAAGAACCCACAAGGCTGCACGTTTGTAGCATGGAGCCAGCTAAGGAAGAACAAGTTAAAGATAAAACAGAACTCAGCTGCCCCAGGAAGGGGAAAACCTCCAACTCTCTGCTGAACATTTTGCAGGGGGGACTTTGCTGCTTTATGGGAGTGGCACAAGTTGGCAGCAAGGATAAAGGCCAAGTCCTGGCCCTAATGAAGTCAATGAGCATTTTCACTATTGATTCTGGCATGACCAGAGTTTAGCCAGGAGCACTTACCACTATCTCTTGAAACCTTCATGCTGGATAGAGAGTGAGATACGAAAATGCACCCAGAGAAACAACTCTAACAGGACTCTATGCCCAGCAGGGATCTTTTCTCTTGTTGATTCAGCACCTCTGTTCCCCTGACCATAGTGTGCACACAGGTGCTCTTGTGCTCTCTTTTTCCCCTCTCCCTCTCTCACACACACACACAGCCTCCCTTCTTCCCACCCGAAACACATACCTCTACTGCGTCGTCGACTCCGGGATGGGTCAGTGTAAAACGTCAGCTGTGGGTCATTGTCAGCCTCTGTCCCAGAATCCCCTTCAGGATTTAGGAAAGCTGAGCCAGCTATAGTTAGAAAAAGACAGAATCCACAATAAAAACAAATAAATAAGGTACAAAACACTGGAAACACACTATAAACTTGGTCAACCTAACTTGCCTTTTACCCTGACAAGGTCCTAGCCCCAGGCATTTCTTCATGACAGTGGGAATTACCTGACAATGAAATCAGGACAACCCAGGCTACACAGAATTGTTGGGATTGTATGGGCTGAGTTGGGAACTCTCCCTGTAAGGAGTCTTGCTAAGAAGCCACAAGCTCATAGCTTCTCACCCCTAGTATTTTATGAACAGGAAACAACCACATTACAAAAGATACCCCCTATTCTCCCATACTTTGGCCCCAACTATGGGGTCCTACTTTTGCAGCCACTCTCCTTCTGGATGGTTAGTAATGTATGGGCTTCCCTTCAAAGGCTCTGAAATAGCCCATTTAGAAATGTAAGATTTCTTGGACATTTCCCTCCAGGCCAGACCTCTTACTGGAGGGCAATAGAGCTACACTTCCTTATTTCCTTAGTTATGCTAGCTTTTCACATTCTCCTTGTGCACTTGTGGATCCCAGTCTGGACCAGAAGTTCAAGCATCACAGTGCCTACTGCATTTTCTAGCCAGGTAAGAGCAAGTACTGATGAGCTCTGTGAGAAATGGCAGCCTTGAGAGTAACAGACCAAGCATGTAGATCCAAGGGGTTGAGATGAACTCCCCATGCTCATTCAAAGGACTCAGATGCTTGTCCCAACTTCAGAACCATTATTGAGACTATCACATTGGCATTACTATCACCAACACAGGCTGTGGCTGGCCAGAAGGTGCTATGGGAAACCCAAAGTGCTCCCCCTCTCCCTGCCCTATAAAGCATGAATTCTGCCCTGCTCTGCAGATGCCTACCATGACCCAACAAAACTACTATTTGTGCTAGTAGAGCCTCTTGGGGCAAGTTCCACTGCTGCAAATGCACTGGGTTGGGTCATACTGGTACAGTTACACCAACAGCTGAAATGGAGGCAAATCCTCAGCATAAATGAAGTCTCAGGAGCATCTAGCTGTGTTGCATGAACAGAAGTCCATGCCCTTCCCTTATTGCTTCCCAGGGTTACCTCTTGTTTTGTTATTGATCCGCTTCCGCTGGCTACTAGAGGTGTGGGACAACAAGGTGGCCTGCTGGTGATTGGTGTCCACAGGGCTGGTGGCAATGATGTTATCCTTGTACTTGTTCATCAAGGACAGCTTGGCATTGTCGCTTCCTGCACAGGAAGAATTTCATGCAAAAACGTTCAGAAGAAAACAAATAAATGAATAAATAAATGCAAGGCTTTAAAAAAAAAAACAAAGGTGAGCGAGAAGTCATTAATAAGCATGTGCATCCTTTCCAAGAGTCTGGGAGCGGGGACTAGAGACATCTCACATGGTGGACTGGCCAGCAAAACTTATGAGGTCCGTGCAGGGAGGGGAAGCAGGTTTCTTCCAACTCCAAAGCATATGGGGTGGTGCAAATGGGCAGAAAGTGGCCTCTCTCCATCGTAACCTGCAGCATGCTCACAGATCCCTGCCCTCTGGTGCCATCTGGCTCTAACAGTGCATTGCTACCACCAGTAAATCCAACAAGCAAGGAGTCTGTGGCAGAAGAAACACCTCATCAGGGATCTACCCTGCGGGGAAGGAATTCCTTCTGTGTCTACCATACTAACATAGCCTTGGTGTCAATGGCATGAGAGGCAATGCAGATTACAAGTAAATCTGGTGGAACCTAATGTCAGCATACTTCCTCCAGGGGTCCCACAGAGGGAGATTAACTGACTTGCTCAAGATCACTCAGAGTTTCAGTGGCAAGGCAAGGAAGTGAATCTGGATGTCCCAGCTTCCAAGCCACCACCCTCATGACTAGGCCATCTTTCTTCCCAGACCCCCACCAGGGAACCAGGGAAGAAGAGAAGCAATCATGGGAAGACCAGAAGTTGGTTAAGAGAACTGACCCTTTCCTCCTTGAGAAATGCTAGCAATTGGGCTGGACACTCCAACTTTATTTGGAGGCAACTTGCTGAGTCCGCCAATGGGCCCTTAGAGCTATCTATCTGTATGACCAGGTCAACAGAAACAAGGGGCCCCTGTGCCAATAGTGACACTTGACCCAGCAACATCACTACTACAAGCTGTTGTGTAGACAGGATCTAATTTGGCCACCATAACTTGGTACAAAGCACAGGCTGAGATTTTCCAAGCTGCCCAAACAAAATGGGTGGCCCATTTCCATGGATGGCTAAAATAAGTTGGACTGTCAGGCCCCTTTGGCAACTTTGGAAGCTTTGTCCTTGGATTTCCTATGTTCCCTCCCAGCTCCCAGAACAGTTTAGGTTCTTCTGCGTCTACAACAACTTCTTGCCGCTCATTGGGGGTTTCAGTCTGGTGACCCAGCATTTGTGACTGACAAGTGTTTCTTGCTCAGCCCCTGGAGGGAGGGGTGGCACATGTTTCTGCACTTGCACCTTTTGTTTTTAACATTTACTTATTTATAATAAAGGTTCAAAATGTCTCTCTCTCATCCCTCCCGCCTTGCTCCGCAAGGAACAAAGGCTTCTAGGACTGGGTGTGAAGCTTGAGGTGGAGAGCTGCATTTGCCAATATCACACACTGCCTTTTCCAATCTGCACGCTGGCTTAGGTGTCTGTGCAGGGAGAGGAAGGTCCTGGTATAGGTGCCCATGTTGACAGCCTGGCTCTGTGTTTAGCACTACCGGTGCTCTCCGCAATGCCACATCCCATAGCTGTCCATCTGCTGCTGCAGCTGGCTTCGAGGGAGCTCTAACCTATGGGGAGGGCCCCAAACAGGGCTCCAAGGGCACCTCACTGATGCCCCACATGCTGGAAAACCACAAACGAATGGCTTTACAGACTGCCCTCGATGTCTTTGCTGTGGCTCTAGGGTCAGGTCTGAAAACCTGCACAGGGAAAGGGATAAAGAGGTGCCATTTACATGACCCAAAACCCAGGGCTGGCAACAGCCCTGTTTACACAGGGAGAGGAAAAGAACTTGGGCAAGCCCAGACAGAGAGAAGCAGAGAAGTATGTTGAGGGCACATTGTGTGTCCCCCTGCCAACACACCTGGTGTGAGATCCATGCTGGACTTCTCATTACAGCCCTGCAGTGAGTCCAAGGTCCTGGTGACCTGACTGGCAAAGTCCTCACCACCATTCATGCACTCCCGCTGCAGGTGGTGCCGCAGGTCAGTGATGTCGTATTCGTAGCCATCCAGGATGGGCGTCTCACGGATGCTCAGGGTGCCACTGGAGTTATGCCCCTGCACACGGGCATTGCGCAGGCTCTCACGCCCATGGCCCCCAATCAAGACAGAGGGGATGTAGTGGATTTCATTGGCTGCTTCGGCGCTGGCACTCTTCTGGGGCTGCGGCACCCGACGCCGTTTGCACCATCGCCGACGGGTGTAGAGGATCAACACCAGGCACAGGATAGACAGCAGCAAGGCAATCATTCCCCCCTGGAGAGGAGACCAGAACAACAGGTATTAGCACCCAGTAACAGCCACACCCCCAGCTACTGTAGCTGAACAGCAAGTGGGACAAACAACCAAAGGGG